ATATCTTCTCAGGGATGGTGGAGGAGAGGAGCACATAATGGATACTGGAGGGGGGAGGGTGCACTACAGCTGATTGCGATGATGTATACATAACTCTTTTTAAAAGAAACTTAACTATGGAAGCATGATATGTAAATGTTAAATCATTAAAACTATTAAAAAATGGAATTTTCCCACACTACTAATGAATTATTGTAGCCAGCGCTTATACTGCCACTAATTGTAAAGCCTTTAATGATTACCTACTGACTTCGAGTGGAAGGAAAAACCAAAAAGTAGGTAAAATTTTCAGAAACCACAATAGTATTTTATAACCCTTTAGAAATACCAGCAGCCTTTTAAAATCCCTTTCACCGCTCAGACATGTGAACTTTTATTTCTTCTCCACCAATCGGATTACATTAAACTCTTTGGACTTAGAAGTTCCTCCTCTCTTGGTTGGTACAGGTCTTTTGTTCATTTGTAAATGCGAGACCACATTAGAAAGGGGGGACAGTATTAAAGGTAGATAAACCAAAAAATAAATCCAATGCCGACTCATATCGACCCTATAGGACAGGGTAGAACTACTCCTGTGAGTTTCAGAGATTGTTAACAGTTCACGGAATAAAAAGCCCCATCTTCCAAGGAGCAGCTGGTGATTTTGAACTGCTGGCCTTGTGATTAGCAGCTCAACAGGTGACCACTATGCCAGCAAGGCTTTTTAGGGCAGGTAAAAAGGCAAAAGTCCTGCTGCCTAGGCTTGGTACGTTGGAGGAACCAGGAGTGGTAGAAGGACCAAGTTAAAGTCCTAAGTGTTGGAAGACACAGGTACTGTGGGTGGGGACAATTTACATAGGACCTTGTAAAAACTTTTACCTTAGAGGTCACAGGTGGGATTCAAGAAATGACTATCTTAAAGGACGTCACTAAAGGACGTCATCTGAAGCAAGATAAACCGAAACAAACCCAATTCACTGACATCTAGTCGATGCTCAGTGACTCCACAGGGCATAATTGAATTGCCAAGAACGTATCTCTTTAAAGTGCAGAGAACAGAAAGGCCTTTCTCCTGAAGAGCACCCGGTACTTTTGAACTGCTGGCTTGCAGATGGCAGCCCAACTGGTAACCATTATGGCACCAGGGCTTCATATATGAAGTAGGGTAAAAATGGGAAATCAATTAGGAGGCCACTGCTGTGGTCCAGGTGTAAGAGGATGGTCCTTCGGATCAGACTAACTATAGATTCGCTTCTGGATTTTTAAAGCTAAGGCTGGCAGGATTTGTGGAAGGAATGGATTTCAGATACATAAAAATTCAGAAAGACTCAACAGTTTTGACCCTCAAGGGCAGTACTAGAGAACTGAACAGGCCTTGTTTTGTGGGGAAAAGATTATTTACTTTTACATAAGATTGTTGTTGGGTGCTGTTGAATCTAACTCAGTGATCCCATGTGAAAGATTAGAACTGATGGAGGTGAGTGAACACATTTTTAATCAAAATGCTAGAAACGGAACAAAGATTTCGCTTAAAAATTCAAAACATAACCTCCTCCCTTGCAGTAAAAAAACCTTTTAAGTTTTAATCAGTAAGGATGAACTAACAAGGCCTTTAAAATAAGTAGCCAGGCACGCAGCATCACCATTCAGAAGCCTCTCAGTGGTGGTCTGGTAAGGCTATGCAGAAGCATCACCCCAATTTAGATAAACAAGGGGGCATGAAGCTTCAAGGGATGGTGGTCTAATGGCCCCTGGAGAAACTAAACTCACTGCCATCAGTCAATAACTCAGTGACCCACCCACCCCCACCCTGTAAGGTTTTTCGACAGTTTAGGGGCATAGAGAGCCCCGTCTTTCTCCCGAAGAGCTGCTGGTGGTTTTGAACTCCCAACCCTGCAGATCCGACTCCGACACCTAACCATGACATCACCAAGGCTCCATCCTGGAGAAATGTGGGTGTAAGTTCCTAATCACTTACACTTGCCTTCTGAGAGCATCAATTGCATCCTGTGACATTGTAAACACCTGTTAGGTCTTTTTCCTGAATCATTGTAAAAACTTTTCATAGTTCAAGGGATATAACCTGCTTGACTTTCACTGGATCTTTGAAGCAGTTTGGATGTAGCAAATCCCATTGTTTCCTTGTCATGACACTTTGGTGTGGTCTCTGCCTTTAGCTGTTTAAGTGACCGGCATTCCTGGACCATTGTTTCATTGTATGAGAATTGCCCCAGAGGCTTTCCTAGGCTATGATCCTTTTGAGAGCTGATTACCATGTCCGTGGAGTCACTGGGTGGGTTCAAATGTCCAGTGATCAGTAGCAGAGCTCTTCCATCAATTGTGCCACCAGGACTCCTATTAATTGAGCAGTCATGTCAGTAGGCAGTTTATGTGTGAGACTAATGTTTAGGGGAAAGGGCTGGGCTGAGGATCCAAATGTGGGCTTCACGCCAGCATTGATCTTGATGGGCTAGGGAGCAAGTATAGAAATGAAGTGTCCAAGTTCTGAGAAACGAACCCTGGGAAACTCCCAGGATTTTGTGGTCAGAAAATGAATAATCTGCAAGTATACTAAGGAAGTCATTTAAGAGGCACAAGGTAGAATTGTTATCTTGGTGGGTGAGGAGTTTGTAAAACAGAGATACTCCATCGGCTGTATCAAATCTATCAGCTGCTGCAAGGTCAAGTAAGATAGTGACAACTGTTTGGTATTGAGTGTGAAGGACGGCTCAGTTTTCTAGTGCTGGTACAACAGGGATGACACAAATTGATGGCTTAACAAAGATACTTTTCTCAGTTTAGATTATAAATCTGAATGCAAAGTTGCAGGTGTAGGGAATGCTTTATTGATCTGGTGGAAGGTCCTTCCTTGTCTGCTTCCTGGTTCCTTGGGGATCTCCATGTGTCTGGATTTCTAGCTTACTCCATCTCTCCTCTCCTCCCTAGTTCGTTTCTTATCTTTTATATTTCAAGAGACCGACTTAAACACAACCATCATTGGTCCTACCTCATTAACGTAGACAATCCATGCCAAATGAGACTACAATCATCGACACAGAGGGTAGGATTTATGACATATTGTTGGACACTTTTCAATCCTTATGAGGCTATTGATGAACTTGAAGTTTCAGTGGGGTGTGGGGATAAATTCTCATTGGTGTGTGTTCAAGAGTAAAATACAGAAAACTTTTTTGTAAAGTATTTAAAGAGAAATGAGTCAATAGTGATTTTATGTTTAGGGTGAGAGCTATTAGACCGTGTTTAGAGGTTGATGGCAGGGGTTTGGTTGAGAGAAAAATCCGTATAGGGGAGCGAACAATGCAAAAGTAAAATAATTCAATGCAAAAGAGGCAAATCTGGCCTTAGACAGGGATTCTGACAATACAGCCCGAGACACTGAAGGTAGAATGCAGTACTGCATACTGACTCGGATGTAGGAAGGTTGATGGACTAGTGAGAGGGGCTGTTATTGTGTTCTGATGCGAAACAGTTGTGCAAGGGGCAAGGTGAAAGGGTTTGGGAGACTGGGCCAAATTGTGTTTTCCTCTCAAAACCACTCCCAATACCAGTTAAGTCCATTCTGATTTCATAGTGAACCCAGCAGGGCAGGGCAGAACTGCTCCTTTGGGTTTCTGAGACTTTCCATCCTTACAGGAGTAGCAGTGGGTTCAAACCACTGGCTACCAAATCAGGGTTATCAGCTCAACGTGCAACCAGGGGTCATGTTTTCCTCTAGTAAAGTTCAATTGTTTTGCTGAAGCAACACAATCATATAAGAATAAAATTTGCTGCCAGATGTTGAAAGACTTATACATTAGTTTTCACACTTGGAAAGACTGGCATCTTTAATATATTAGTTACGAAAGTACTAGAAACTACACAGAAGGTATGGCTTTTTCCTTGATTTTGATCACCAGGTAGTCTTTAATTACTGACAGCTGAAGCAGAGAATAAGGAGCCCTGGTGGCATAGATTAAGTGGTGGCTGCTCACCACGTGGTTGGTGGTTCAAACCCACTGGGACTCCTCAGGACAAAGATGAGACTGCTTCAGTCATGATTTAGTCTCAGAAACCTATGGAGCAGTTCTACCCTATCCAATAAGGTTACTATGAGCAGCAACTGGCACGACAGGTTTGGTAAGTGGGAATAAAGTAGATTTCCATCAATCTTTATAAACTGGGATGATCTTAACATTGGCAAACAGATGTTTAGTCAATCCAACTCAGTGACCCTAGAGAACCAGGCTGCCCCATCTTTCTCCCTTGGCGGTTGGAGCCCCTCTTCTGATCAGCTTGGCTCTTAACCACTGCATCATCAGAGCTCTTTGTGTCAGGTGCTTTGCTTCCAGTCAGTTGTCATTTCACCACCCTTTCCCTCCTTCCCATAATCCCACCTTTCCGTTAAAGCCAGCAATACTATAATTTGCTGGATACATAGATCTAGATAGACCATTTACTTTTTGATACTGCTTTTTTGGAGGCATCTGGTTTCTTCAGATTTGTTTTCCTTTTTTTAAGACTAAATTTACTTGGTTTAACAGTCATTTTCATTAACGTCTTAGAACAGGAAAACGCACACACCCCACCACCACCTGAATACCACTGCCCCAGGGTAAAATTTAGGTGGTATCTGAAGTTCCCCCTAATGCCAATGCTGCTGTGCCCACAGCATTTCATTTGTAGCAAGTTCATTTAGGATGCCCTGGTGGTGCTGTGGGTTTGGCATTGGGCTGCCAACCCCCAGGTGAACGGCTCGGTGCCACGGGGAAAGATGGGCGGGCTTCCATACTCATTCGGCTTCAAAAACCTTAGAAAGGGTGGCTCGAAGTCCTCACTCCTGGGACTCAGGAGCCACTTGGGGGCAGTAGGTTTTTCTGGTTTAATAGCCCACGGAAAGGAGCCTGGGTGGCACAGTGGTTAAGCGCTGGTGACAAAGAAAAAACGGGATGGATTTACCATAGCAAGATCTGTTTCTCTTCAATCTGTAGTGAACCATTACACCTGGGATTCACCCTGCCCTGCCCCGCGGCGCCCCCCAACAGCAGAACTGTTAACTACAGGTTGGTAAGTAAACACACAAGCGCTCCGGTGTACCTCCTGTACACCGGTGTGCAACCCCTACCGGGCAGGTCCCACCGCGTCCTACAGGGTCCCCATTCATGGCAATGGGTTCCTTTGAACACCACCTATCCCGAGGCTCCGGATAAATTCTTTCACCAGAAGGTCTCCTGGAGGAAGAGGAGCCAGGGGGGGAGACCCACGGGCACGGCAGGCAGGTTTCCCAAGCTGGGGAAGGAAAGCACCGAGAGGCCGCGACGGCTCGGCGGGGCTCCCCAGCGGCCCACCGCTCTCAGCCTCCCACCTGCGCCCACGTCGCCACCTGCGGTCCCGGAACCGCTTCGGAACAGGGCCCGCGAGGCGGTCGCGTCCGGAGGTTCGGGTGGAGCGAGCGTCCCTTCCTCTCCGCGTCCGGGGGCGACTTACATCCAACGGGCCGCACGGCGGGCGCGCTGGGCGCAGGCCCTGGCCCGCGGGAGGCCG